CATGAGCAGAGAACTGGTTTTCTTGTTAAAATGTAAGAAAAAGAGAATTTCTGCATTGGGAAAATCCATCCAACGTCCAAATAAATTACATAAAATTCAGTGATATGCTTATTTCTTGAATGTATGATAATACAATGGAAAAATTTATAACCTGGTTGAATAGTTACCATGACTAACTTTCTATTAGAAAATGGACTAAAATTTCTTATTCTTAATTAAGTTTCTGTACTGTACTAAAACCTTAATTTTTTCATGATATATACAAGAAGAAAATTCCCTTTTCTTTTTAAGGTATGTGCTTTTGATGAAAAGTAGGGGGTCATTTGGGTACCGACCCTTAGCTGTTCATCCAACGTGAGTCTGGAATGTATTTGTAAACCGCTTGGCATGTCATATTCCAGGGAAAATTAGTAGGGTAAGGTTTACAATGAGTTATGGAAAGGAAAAACTTTCAGCCTGCTTACAGGAGTAAGAAGCCATCTACCTTGAATCAACCCATCAAAACCGGATCCAGGTAAAATAAAGTACTGCACAAATGTTTAAGCTAGGATTGCTGTAAGTGTAGTTACAGAATGAGAGAGATGCTCATAGTGTCCCATCTTTGATGCACTCTGTCATATAAAGCTTTGAAGTAATTATCAAAAAGTGCCAAGCCGTGAAGACTATGTAGCACCATCAAAGTTGCCGGTTGTTCAAAAGGTGCTAAATATCATCAAGGATGCCAATACGAGAACAAAACCGCATAAAGAGAGTGATATCAAAGGCATCTGATTCACTAAGGATTCTATCAAGGAACAAATGACTGTATGGGACAGTTAGGAAGCAAGAAATATGCACCTCCAATGCATAATGAGAATATGCATGACCGTAAGAGGGACAGTGCAGTTTGGACAATAAAAAGCAGAGCGGGGCTCCGTTAAGTGTCCAAAAGTTAAACGCGTATGGCCGATATGTAACCTCGTCAGTCATTTCCCACTTGCAGATTACAGTGGTAGAACCAAGGGGACAGGGTAAACCTTACCCTTATCTGCACACAGCTTGTTACCAGCAATAGAAGACTAACAACCCTGCCAACAGGCATGGATTGAGGATAGAATAACTGGGTAGAAGTCGGAATAAGGAACGTGTGAGAGTATGGTCTCTCAAGATTCTCCCACGGCTGACTTATATGGCTCATTACAGTGCACAAAGCCTCTCTTTTACCCCTGGAAGAAAAACTGTCAAGTTGGGTGTCATTAGGATGCCCACATATTCAGGAATACCAGTATTTGTATCATGCAGAGGCCGCCGTATGTCTAGAGAGAAAGATTAATTAAGCAAATGTGTCATAGCATATGAGTCAGAAAGTACTGTACACAAGTTGGAAGGTGCAGGCATGGGAAGTGTGTGTTTCCTTAAAGTGTTTCAATCCCGCCTCCCTCCAGCGAGGCGGGAGATAAGCACGACCTCTGGGGTCAGCCTCAACCGTTGCGGTGAAGAACAGCGACGTGGTTACATCATCGATCTTCTACCCATCATGTAAGAATCACTATCATTGGTTACGGCACCTACTTTACAAAGCCATTGGTCAGTTTGTAGACCTGGTGTTTGTGCCCAGGAAAGCCCTGCAACCTGCTTGCACCATTATTCTTGTAAGGAAATTCATACATGGTGGACGTGTTCTAATCTATCGGTCAATAGAGTAAAACACACCAGCCATTCCTTACCGTCAAGTTAACTCTGCATCTTTTCGATATCCCAGAATTGCGACCATGACTATATTGTTTATAAGCCTTCGAGACTGACAAAAGGTCCTTGAAATCACCAGAGCAAAACAGACTGGTATCTTTGAAATCACCAGAGCAAAACAGACTGGTATCGGGTAACATCTGGTGACAAAGTGAGAGCGAGATCCCTGTGAGTAACTGTGTGGTCTAGAGTGAACTAAGTGCCGCTGCCTAAGTAATCTGTGAGTGACCTTACCACAGTGTACCTGCATGGTGCAATAACCGTAGCGGCCGACGCTACTCAGTCCAGAGCGCGTAGCCAGCCACTGTAAGTTGCCCTGCCTCACTGTACTATGTGACGTCACCGCCTGTCACACCCTTACTCACGCGCCAGTGTAATCAAGGCATCTGTATCTGTTATAGACAAACAGTACGGCCTCCTGTGAGTACCCCGCCGTGTCAAGTACAGTCGTGTTGTGAAAGCCTGTCATCCTATAGTGTTCTCACGTCATTATGAGCGAGACCAGCTGTCAGGCCACCTATGAGGTTTTGCATGAATGAGCGTAAGTGAATGGGAGAGGTAGCCTACCAGTAAGTACAAGATATTGTTTCTTTATTAAGTGTCTGTGTGTTGATCTGAGTGATCAACCACAGTTCTCACCATCTCCACACCTGACACAGGTATATGTGGAGACTGAGACACCTGATCTGTGTGGTATCATGACATTACACTCGTCTGTGAATGTGGCTTCACACACACACCACACATATTTATTGTGTGACATAATTAATGTCATGATTATTGGCTGTCCCATTGACACTGCCATTGGTGATTCATTGTGCATGATCATTGCCCAAATATCCTGCTAGAACTCCTGTGCCCCTTAGCACACCGGTAGTTAGGTTTGCCGTGTTTGTGACTGCCTGTCAATTGCATTAAGTTAGGTGTATCTCCACAAGTGGATCAGAAATAAGTAATTATAATTATCAAAAGAAGGCACCAAACCGGGAAGGCTATGTAGCACCACAAATGTGTGGGATAATCAGAGGGCGCTAAATATCACAAAGGATGCCAATACGAGAACAGAAACGCATAAGGTGAACGATATCAAAAGTATCCGAGTCACCAAGAATACTATCGAGGGAAAAACGACCGTGGGGGACGGTCGGAAAACAAGACACGCTCGTCCCGGAAGTCAGGATATTCAACAAGGATATGCACGACCGTAAGAGGGTCAATGTAATTTGGACAATAAGGAACAGGACGGCGCTCCATCAAGTGACCATGAGTTAAGCGAGTATGGCCAATAAGCAACCTCGCCAGAGCCGTTTCCCATCGCCGGTTATGGTGGTAGGAGGACGGCTGAGTGGATCAGAATCGATTAGTCAGACATCAAGAGTCTCGCTAACGTGACCATAGCCTTGCTGATGCCAATCTAGAGTAAATCAAGCACTCATTGTATTAGTAGTTAAGTTTGTAAATAAACCACTGTTAAGCAGTGTGTGGCGTTTCCGTTGAACCACTTCTGAATACGGCTATTGCCTAAGCCTTCAGCTCCAGGTGTCTTTAACACCGAGTTGCCTATTATTCACAAAACTATAAATGTGATGAGGACCCTACGAGTCCCTTAAAGTGTTTCAATTGCATTGAGGAGATTCCCACGACCAACGTGGATCAGGACCAGATGAAGCCAGTCTGAGAGGAGACCAACAAGGACTCTTATTCGACCGTGCTCCCAGGCCCTGTACGCTTGCTCATGTATTTTCTCTGTTGGATTTCAACAGCTTCATGAAGCATCTACCACATGCACATTGGTGACGTTACATGCAACTGCAGCCAGGAAAGCAAAGAGAAAACCCCCACAGAATGCCTTTGTGGGAAACAGGACAAGTACGGATAGCCTCCTTAGCAGCAGCATCCACATACTCATTTAAGGAAACACCAATATGGCTTAGAACCCAGCAAAACCAGACTGTCATAAATCTGCTGGAGATAAGAAACAGCCAATGTTAAATTTCTCCTATGTATCTCCCTTGTTTTTACACACACATTTTATTTATATATATATATATATATATATATATATATATATATATATATATATATATATATATACATATATATATATATATATATATATATATATATATATATATATATATGTATGTATGTATGTATGTATGTAAGTATGTATGTGTGTAGACAAAAAAGTACAATATTGGGCTTTAATAAAGTGACACAGCGAAAGGGTTAATGTGATAAATGTCAAATAATGAATAACCTTCCAGGTGTAGCGATAGGTTGCTGACCCAAATCCTAATTAGAAAAAACAATGTGGTAAATATATCAACTCTGAAATAAACTGGGCATTATTAAATTGATGACATGTAGAACTTGTGACATAACATACAATAAGATGACATACAGACAAAACCGAAAAAAATGAATTATTAAAAGGCGACAAATATTAGAGAAGGAAAACCTGAAAAAGCAAGGAAACCTAAACCATAGTAAGATGTGTGACTCAAAAGCTTATACAAGACAAGAATTTGTAAATCTGTTTTGGGAAAACCCAAATTTAAAAATTTACTAGGATGGATTTGTCTGAAACTGCACCTAATATATTTACTTTGGTATACAAGTGTATTACAATATTAATAAAACAATTTATATTAAAATATTGACTTTAAGTATGGTCCGTTTCTGTCCATGGGGTGAATAACCTGGAAATTTCAAGTCTTTGAATGCAATGATAAAAATCTTTTAAGTTGTCATGACAGTATATGGTATAGTTATTATTTGTCAAGGAAGTTTTCTTAGATAATAACTACCAAGTATTGTTGTTAAATTCAACAGTACAATTAAAAACTATTAGTAATTGGGATATTACCAATAATCTCTATTCAAGTGTCGTATGTCATATATACTCACAAACATTTAAAAGAATGTCTCCTTCATTCTGGACTCAAAAGATAACAATCCACCATCTTCAAGAGGTTGAACACAAATATCAACAGAAAATTAAAGTAAATACGAGCAGTGCTTCACCCGAAATAACACACGCAAAAAAAAAAAAAATGCTCACACCACACAAGCCGACTGCTCCACTTATGTCAAATATCACAGTGACAAGCAGCTCCCCTGAGCGTCCTCTGGTCAATTTCTGTGCAAATATATTATCGAAATGATAGTCACCACGAAATTTTCTATTAATCAACAATACATTTTTAACTTTTCTTACAGTATTATGCACCAGTACCAAACATACAGCTAGGAAGAAAAAATCAGTAAAATCTTTTTTATATATCTGTATTGTCAGTTCCAACCTAAAGGCTTTCACAAAATATTATTGCTTTATTATAATTCGTCTTTCCTGTTAAGATCTTTGGTTTGAGGCATACCTTCTATATGTTCAGGATTAAGTCCATATTTTTTCTTGATTTTTCTGATCTTTTCTTGAAATTTTTCAGTGATATGATCAAGCTTGTTTTCATTAAAGTCACCTTTTTGTGAAACCCCTTGACTTAATGACTGCTCTAATGAGGCAGCCTTCTTGTATTCATCCTTTAAAGCCGAAGACTTTATAGTTAATGATGACAATTGGTTTAGCAGATGATGTAATGAAGCATCCAAGTCAGACGGACTTGGTGTGGCTTGCTGAAGAACTGCCATCAGCTCCCGTAGGTGAACACTGAGCAAAGATTTCAGAAGGCTAGGATCGGAGGCAGTTTTCTTAAGCAGTAGACCTTGCAATTCTGTTACAATTGAAACTGAAGAGTCTGTCCTAAGTGTGTTATCTTTAGCTACTTCTTGCTCTTGCCGCACATTTACATAGCGAACGGCTGCAACAAGAATTTCTTCGGCTGTCTTGGCTTTTTCAAGCTCTTTCAATATAACCTAAAAAATTAAATGAGCATTAGATTCTATTCAAAATACAATGCAGGAAAATGTAACTTTTCAAAACATATCACCAACAAATATAGTTATGTGACCATACTACTAATATCACAGGACCTGTTTAGAAGAGTTAAGTTCATTCAGTCTTGAATGACAATAAATAACTCAATACAAGTAATGTGACCTCACTGTAGAGGAAAATCTGGACCAAAACTGCTATTTCTAGTACAGTCAAATCTTAATACATTTAATTGTTGCCGCTGGAGGCGGCTCACTAAAAAAATTTGTTCATATTTATGCCGATTTATTCGCTTAACTCCTGGGCTGGGTGCCTATTATTCCACAACAACTCCATGGTGCATGGGAAAAAATTAAAACAATTTGTTATTCCTTTTAATATTAAAATGTTTTTCCTTGCTCATGGTAAAAATAACAAAAAATTGTATGTGACTTACTTTTGTTGTGGAACAATGAAGCTTGGCAATTTACAGGCATTGATAGAGTTACTGTGAAGATATTTTTACTTATCTATTTGAATGTGTCTTATTGGGGTATTTTTTTTTTTTTTTGCAGTAGTATTATTCAATAGTGTGTAATTTTATTAATTTATACAATAAAATGTGTGGACCATCGCTATATTCAAAAATATGATGCGCATATTACTGACACTATTATTATACAGTAGTCTCTGAACAATAAAGCAGTAATTTTTAGTCATTTCGCTGCTTATACACTATTTATATACACATGTATATACTATATAACTACAGTATCTATATTTTAATGCATCATAACGAACCACTAAGCATTTCTGGCGAGTGCAGTAACCTTATATGCAGGAATTCAACTTAGTCCTGAATACTTTGCACTAAGTTCTAACAGTACACATTGAATATGGGGTAGAAGCATGAGGGTAGGATCAAAGGAAGAGCGAACCGCGCCTGAAGGGGAAGGCACGGACAGAGACATTCACCAACACCTCCAATTCTGGGTCCCTAACACCAATCTGGGGTGCTCTGGGGCATCCAACTAGGTGCACAACCAAGACTGCTACAACCTAGCAAAATGAACAAGCAAAGTGGTCACAGCTTGATAGGTTTTAACCTCATCAGGAGGATCAGAGAGAAGAGCCACACGGGGAAAACAATCCCCACAGGTCAAAGGTGTCATTGATCCAACAGGCAGCATAGTGGAGGCAAAAAGAGTAATCATTGCCCCGTGGCACAGACAATGAACCTTCAAACTCGCACAAAGTGAGAGCAGGTTTAGAGTGATATCTATACACCTAGTAATATTACACCTGTTGCTCTATACACCACTGAACCCACAGGGAAATTCTGGGGACTGAACACCTCTCCTCTCCGCCCCCACTCATCACTGTCTTCCATACGCCAACAAGAGTCATCAATAAAGGTAAACAATAACTTGTACATACAATAGTACTACATATTTGGTGAATTAGGTATGAAATTTATTTTGAAGTTAATATTTTTAGGGGTGTGGAACAGATTAATCAATTTGCATTATTTATGGGAAAATTTGTTTCGGGTTGCGAATTTTCGGCTTACGAACTGTCTCTGGAAATGGATTAAATTCGTAGGCTGAGGTACCACTGTAGATAACATGAAAGAGTTCTAGTTACATTTAGATAAAATGAAGGGGTTTTTAGTTACATTCAGATAGTGTGAATGAGGGTTCTAGTTACATTCAGATCAAACAACAGGGTTCTAGTTATATTCAGATAAAGTGAAGTAGATTCTAGTTATGTTTGGATGAAATGAAAAGATTCCAGTTCAAATTACTCTGGATAATCAGACTCCACTGTAACTCCTTTGAAAAGTAGGAAATCATTAGTAGTAGACTGAAGAAAACACTAACTGTCCCTAAAACATTTGTTCAGGATCTACTTATTTGAAGACTGCAATACAGTGACTCATATATGTTTAATATGATGCCTGCTTGATGGGGTTCTGGGAGTTCTTCTACTCCCCAAGCTCGGCCCGAGGCCAGGCTTGACTTGTGAGAGTTTGGTCCACTAGGCTGTTGCTTGGAGCGGCCCGCAGGCCCACATACTCACCACAGCCCGGTTGGTCTGGCACGTTTTTTAGAAAACAGTCTAGTTTTCTCTTGAAGATGTCCACAGTTGTTCCTTCAATATTTTTTATAGTTGCTGGGATGCAAATAGGTTATACATGGATGATTTAGTATGAATTGAGATATAGCCATAAGTTACCTTATCTTGTGGTGATTCCGGGGGTTAAGGTCCCCGCGGCTTGGTCTTTGACCAGGACTCCTCAGGTGTACAGTACTGCACTTGCAAAGATAACTGCCAAAATAGGACTTTCAAACTTACCTGATGCTTTGAATGTTCCTCTTGTTCATGGAGCTTAGAATGAACTGTCTGTTGTCCCTCTACAACTGTTACCAGGTCATCAGCCAAACTTTCACTTCCCTGTATAAACAAAGTTTATATTTGTATTGTATATATAATGTGAATACAATCAAGAAGCCTATATGCATGATAAAATAAGGGTTATGCTTAACAAATTTAAAATATGTATAACTTTCATTAATCCAAAGACTGACTCAATTATTTTCTCTTCACCTGTTGTCTGTTGTTAATGATGGATATGACATGAGGTAATCCTCCATTTTCCAAGCCTGTTGCTAGTGTTTCCTCTTCTATTCCTTTTACTTCTACTTGCATCTCTTCCACTGAACCCTTTCCAACATCTGGAATATTTAATAGGTTAACTGCATTATCACACAAAATGGCTATTTGTCAACTTTTTTATAAAGTATTGTAATCATTATTGAACTAATTATAACTTAATTAGAAACTACTTTTGAAGAATACCTTCTTTGTAATTTCTCAAACTTTCTGATGCTGGTGGGTGGCTTATCAGTTCTCCCTTTCATAATAGCTACTGCACTAACTTGTGCCACTCGACAACAAAATGTAAAGAATAAAATATGTAATACTTTTTTAATACCATTTCCCTACCTTAAACAAATTCATATTAACTACATTGTCTATTAAACATAGTGTATTTAAAAAAAAAAAAAGGCGATTCTCTCCGACCTAGCCGGAGATTCGCCGAATCCGGGTACGTTGAATCAAAGTTGTACTGTATTTGTATTTTGACTATGCAGTTACAAAAGGTACTATCACTTCACGAGGATGGGTTGAGAAAAACACACGGTCAGTACATGTGCCCTCACAACACATTTGGATGCCTAAAAGAACTCCAAACAACATAATCCCTTTTGTATAATTTATAAATAGTACAGTACAAGCTTAGTAAAACATTTCTTTCATAAAATATACATGTATTATTTTTTATTAATATTTAAAATTAAGGGAGCATGTTTTACAAAAATTTTGAAAATATTCTATCTGATGTAAATTATTTTATGGGCCCATGAAACTTCACCCAATTATTTCCACCTTCCCTGGATTCTGGAACTTTCCTGCCAAGTCCAAAATTTGGAAGAATGATCAGATGAGTATATTTCATTTTTTTTTTTAGAGGGATGTTATATACATGTCTGGGTTTTGAATGGTGCACTGCACGAGTACAACTCTTGACATTAAAATCTCTTTCGAATATAAAGGTTATCATATAACTTTTTTTTAAATATTAAAAATCTTATGATGCTATCTATATACAATATATGAGCCAACTTTGTAACAAAATAGGTATTTTCCTAGAGACAATACTACAGTACTAGATTCTTTACCTTTGTCAGCATAGTCAGATAGCACAACCTCAAGCGCAGAGTCTTCACGAAGAGCACTAAGCAGGACCTCGGCATCACCGGAGAAGAGGAATACCAATGGGATGTTCACATCATCTGTCCCATCACCAGACATGGCAAACATTGGTGAGCTTTTAGCAGATGTTCCTGGGGTATTATCCAGCACAATACCACCAATAGCACCCAGTGCTTCCAGCCTGCGAGCCTAGTAAATAAAATTGTAGATTATCACAATAAAAAATCTAGCATTGAATGTAATGAAATGCCAAATTCTGGGTGAGCCCCAGAGGCCCCCTGAAGCTATTACACTGATTTGGTGCCATACTACTAGGTGCCATCAGTTGCGGAGATCTTATTGGCACCCGGGGACCATGAGCCAAAACCTGGCTTCCCTCAGAGAGGTGCAGGGAGCGGTGGCCCTATGAAAACCTTATATTTACAGTTAGTCATGTCTGTCACCACCAGGAAGAGCACTCAAAGTCAGCGAAACAAAACAAACCACTGCATAGTTAGAAACGAAACCGCAGTCTCATAACTGCCAAAAGAACTCTCCCAACAACATACACAAACTATCGGAAATTAATGAAACTAGTGTGCGAGCACGCACCACCTCCAGCCTCTCGTTTGGGGAAGGAGGGAGGCAGGCTGGGCCAACTGGCTGCATGCCCCACTTCTCCATAAACAGGTGAGGACATGAGTGATACCAGGACAGAATTTTGTCTTTGATATAGAATAGATCTTTTCAAGAATAACTGGATCTTTTCAATCCTACCTTACAAAGCGATTTTTCCAGAATACCTGAATCCACTTCCACTTTCCATAACATGGCATTTATCTACATTGAATTCCATTTGCCAATTAATACTCCAAGCACTTATTTTATTTAGATCAACTAGAAGGGTATTACAATCATCTGCATCTCCTATCTTCCACAGTATATTAGCATCATCCGGAAACGTGTTCATATTCAAGTCCGCAAACATGTCCGAGTCAGCCCATCCTCCTTTTTTGGTAGTACTTAGTGATGATGAAGATCATAGTACATATACTGACATTCAATCCAATTAGAAAGTAGAAATCAGACATATTGAATTTGGACAGACCGGAAAAGATTTTCTATTTATGTTACAAAGACAAATTAAACTAACCTAATCTTCCTAGGCCTAATACATGCTATTTGAGGCCTAATAGAGTATATATGTGTGCTATACTAGGCCTAGGAATATTTAAGTTTGTTTTGAGCTTCAATGTTTTTGTAATTTATAAAGTGAACAGTAGAAGATTCTACTGTCTAATTGTTTATTACGTCAATCTTTGTACTATGGTGCACACAGATGCAAAAAGTACTATGTAAACTGGAGGATAGGTTGGTCGAGTCGTGCATAGTTTGTGCGGTGCTGGGTAGGGTTACCCATCACTAATTCACCCTCCTATGGGGTTATTGGCACCTGCTCTCCTTTACCCCCGGTGAGTTCCCCTTTGTGTTTCGTTCTCTATGGTGAGATAGCAACTGGGAGCAACCACGGAGCCCACAAAGAAAATGATTGTTCAATGTAATGAAACAGCGGCTCCCTGGACCCAGCCTTCCTCTCACAGGTGCCTCTGCTTTTCCTTTGGTCAGCTCATAGTTGAGTAGCTACACTGGCTGAACCAGGAGCTTCTGCTGCTGCCACCTGCTATTTGAGGCTGGCACCACCATCAAGTAGCAGGTGTATTTGCTAACAGAATGACTTAATGTAACTACTGGCAGGCTCATTTTCTGAGTTGTTTAAAATTTGCTTGCTGTCATCTGTGTTGCATCATGCTACCTTTCTGGTGACATATTTCTTGGTTAGGGTAATCTAGAATCCCTTGCTCCTTGTGTGTCTGTGAGGGGCCAGATTTTGGGCTCTGGTCCAGGGTACACTTTTAATGACTCACAAGAGCCTGGTGTGACTTGAATTGAGCAAAGATTACCAGGTGGTAAACAACAAGGAGCCACTGAGAACTCATTAGAAAAAAGAGTTTACTTACATTTAACACTGATTTGATTAATTATCCAACAATAAAGTAATATGCACAAAAATTTAGAGTTTCATCTATAATAACTAACCTTCTCAATAAACATGCAGTCTCCTCGTTCTATGATGACAATTTTCCCTTGTATTTCACCTTCATTGGTCAATTGTTCACAAGCTCTGAGTGGAGCAGCTTTGACCACAGGTCCGTTTACCTTTGGGGGACAATTCAGTATTAATACCAAATTCATTAACATATCCAAAAGTCTAAAAAGACTTTTAACACTTTAGCATTCAGATAATATGTTTGTGTCATCAATAATTTGAAAAAAACAAACAGTATTGAATGTAATGAAAAGCCATTTTCTAGGTCAGACCCGGAGGGTCCCCTGAGCTATACTGAGCTGATGTGTATACATTAGACCGTGGCAACAGTCAATCGATGGAGTTCTAGCCTACCGGGGACCATGAACCAGAACCTGGCCCTCTCAGAGAGGCACGAGGAGCAATGGCCTATAGACACACCAGTGTAGTTGGAAGAAGTCTATATCAGCCGTCTACCAGGTCAGGCACCCAGAGAAATAGGAATCCCAAAACATACTACAGCTGGTGAAAAATTGCTAACCGAAAGCCGAACAAGCAAGCAAAACTCCCCAATCAGAAAACAAGCAAACAAGCATGATGTCATTACAGCCACCGCACCGCTGTCTGCGCAACTCCTCCCTACCCGGGAGGGGGGTCCCAGGCCTCCTGCGCTGGCTACCCAACCCCAGTTCAGAGGCTGAATATCAAAAAATGCTTAAAAGTTTTTAGCTCTTTAGCTTTTTTAGCTTTTTTAGTTTTTTAAGCACAAAATTTAGGTAGCTCCCCAGAGCTACCTTACCAATGATAAAGGAAAAGAGGGACTTACTTGGGAGGAGGCCGCCTCTCGCTCCTCAACTTGAAGTCAAGACAACTGGCTCCATCCTGCGACCCAAAGCGACACGCACCCGAGAAGGGCCAGGAACATTAACAAGGTACCGTGCGGCCAGGAACATTAACAAGGTACTGTGCGGCCAGGACCCTGTTCGACCTCCAAAACCCCAGTACCCGAATATCAGCCCAAGACATATTATCAAAAACAGCAGCCAAAGCCGCAAACTTACGAACGTTGTGGGCACAGGGATAGCCCACAGGCTGACTGGACCGAATAATCCTGCAGACGATCTGGGAGACCCCACACCCTGGAACAGAGAAGAAGGGTAACCGGGTCCACCCAAAGCACGTCCTCTGCCACTGAGGCCGTGACACGCAAGTAACAGCAAAGAGCCGCAACCGGACACAAAACATGATGCACCCCCAGCCGAACCAAGCAAACATCAACAACCCAAGGACCCCTCCAGAAAGCAGCAGTCTAATTCTTCGTAAGAAAGGAAGGAGACGGCTGCAAATGAACAAACCGACCACCAGAACTGAAAGAGCAGAAACCACTCCGCCGATCCAGCATGGTAGAGAGACAACCAGTGATAGTCACCCCGAGACAAGGGGACAGAGCAACCAACAATCTCACACGATGCGAGAGGGAACTCAAGGGTCGCATCCATTGGACCATGGAGCCCCTATAGGGTTTCCCAAGGCCGTTAACCTTGGTGTCACACTAAGGGAAGCCCAGACAGGGTACTGCGAACCGGCGCCTAAAACTTCTGAGCAAACTTCTAAATGTGAACCCCGAGGATGTGTCCACTCACAGGGGGCAAAGCAGGGGGGTACCATCAAGAACACAGATATGTGTAGAGAAAGAACCCCAAGTATAGAGAGGGGGCAACCAACCAAAGGCAGACCCCCCCCCCCACCAAGCAGGGGAAACAAAAACAAAAGAAAACCCCCGCAAGAGGACAATGTACCCAGGCGGAATAGAGCCGGCCGCTACAATAGGTGAAAACTAAATGTGCTGTACCTACTTACTACCCAGAGGCAAACAAGGGCAACAAAAACTCCAGCCGACTCCAAGGGCGGCCAAGTACCGAGCGGTAAAAGACGCAGCGGAGGTAGGCCCCAAGGTGACTTGTGGAAGGTGGCTCCAAGCCCCAAGCCCCAAGGAAACCCTAGGGGCATGCAGTCCGAGTACCGAAGAATATTACTCCTGGCTCACTCACACACCACCTGTAGAGACAGACCAAGCCAGAAGGCACAGGAGCTGGAATACAAAACTGGAGCCAGAGGCACCCGACCAGACAGTATCACATCAGTCAAGAACTGCCGGTTGGGTTGCCAGCGTAAGGGTCTGGGGCTCCCCTTTCCCCCTCCCAGGGAGGTGGGAAAGGGGACTAGCACTACAACGCTATGCGTGCTAGTGGCTTTACAAGATTGTAATTTCAACTTAAACTCTATGTTCTCTCTTAACCCCCATTGTACCTTCTTGTATATATATACATAAATAAATAAATAAATAAATAAATAGTTATACTGTATATCAGCCTGGATAGCTCCGGGGAGCCGACGGGGCTCCCCCCCAGAAAATATATATGACTGTAGGGCAGTTCAGAGTACTACGGGCAAGGCATCAGATTGGACACCACAGGTCATCAGACGCGGTTAGAAAAGGAGGCAGTGAATCTTCCCGGGGTCAAAGAGCAGTATCCTGAAGGTAATGTGTATGATCTTTGATATATTCCATGTAGGATGTCTTAACCTTTTGCCAGTTTTTGGGTAGGGACTTAGAGTTTGGGTGAATATCATAATTGTGTTCTAAATAACTCTTGTTAAAACTTTCAATTATTGAGCCTCCCAATCCTCTGTGCTCAGATTGTTAACAACTGAGTGGACAGCGCTTCAGATTTGTAGTTCTGAGGTTCTGGGTTTGATCCCAGGTGGAGGCAGAAACAAATGGGGCAGAGTTTCTTTCATCCTGATGCCCCTGTTATCTAGCAGTAAATAGGTACTGTACCTGGGAGTTAGACAGCTACTACGGGCTGCTTCTTGGTGATGTGTAACAAAAAGGAGGTCTGGTCGAGGACTGGGCCGTGGGGACGCTAAGCCGCGAAATCATCTCAAGATAACCTCAAGATATAATATAGTGTACGTGTTCATTATACATAGGATTGGCACGTAAAAGCATATAAAATGTATTTGGGTCTGTGCGCAGAAAATGAACAAAAATATATTCACAGCAACTTGTGCATCCTGCCCCGAGCCCCCTACCGGCCCCTGGGGCGTATGCCACAGGCAACCAGGGAATGATGACGTCACGCACGAACTTACGGACCCCATAGCAGCTAAAATACTTACAATTTCGACCTTCTGTTACTACACCCTTACTCAGGGAAGGGTTTTTGACACTTTAAAAACAGAAAAGAATTTTTTCCAGACATTTTATTTCCTGCGCACTGGGGGGGCGTCATGTTTGGAGGCCGCGCAGTTAAGGGGTTAAAGACCATGATAGGGATAAGTCAAGTGGAAAGTGATTAGACTTGAGATTGACTTGGTACTGGCTTGGGTGCTGCCTGCTGCCATCTGATGATGGTCATAGCAGATGGCAAGTTGAAGAACCATATAAGTTGGGCTTGGAAATGCTTTAAGTATTTTTGAGTGTGATTTCTGTCACCACTCAGTGATGGGTTGAGGTATTCTTCAGTGTTTCCATAGCACTAGCTTGATCGGAAAGGTATGCATTTTAATGAAATCCCTGGTGCAATGATGCAGAATCTAACCCTGCCTTACCCTATCAAGAAACTCTCTCATAATTCAGTGAGCTTGCCAAGATTCCAATCTTGGTGGAATAACCTAAGAAAAGCAGACATCAAAAATTAATCTCTGTGTTATCCTTTTTGCAGTAAGGGACTATTTTTTTCTTCTGCTAAACCTTGTAAAACATATGGAAAAAGCCACTGTAACTTTTTACCAAAATTTAGACAAAAACGACCCCATTACACATCAGCATAATTAACATATGTACTAGCAAAATTATGTGGCTTTATTTACCTGAACGTCTCCTTTTAAATCAAGCCCAAATTGTGCAGGGCCTGCCTGGATAATGGTGCTTGTAGAATGGCCATTTACTACATGCAGAAATGACACCACACGAGGAGGGTTGTCAGGTTGTTCCTGCTGTAGTTTGCTTAATTCTATCATCTCTTGCATGAACAGCAGTCCTTCTTCAGCATCATCTGAAGACTTAGCCTGAGAAAAATTAAACCTTGATAAAATTCAGAATATTTTGGTTTAGAAAAATCACTGCCATCCAGTAAGATGCATTTTTACTATATATAAAAAAAAATTCATGCTATTCTCAAGTGAAGATTATAAAAATGGAAACTGGTGTTTTCATTTTTTTTTAGAAAACTGTAATCTTTTTCCAAAAGATTACTGGAACTAAACATCACAACATTGGAAGACAGAAGAGTTAGGAGAGACATGATCAATACCTATAAAATTCTCAGAGGAATTGACACGGGGTAGATAAAGGTACACTGTTTACCACTGGTGGTATGCGAACAAGGAAGCACAGGTGGAAACTTGGCACCCAAATGAGCCACAGGTACGTTAGAAAAAACTTTTTCAGTGTCAGAGTAGTTGACAGATGGAATACGTTAGGCAGTGAAGTGGTGGAGGCTGACTCCATACACAGTTTCAAATGTAGATATGATAGAGCCCAGTAGGCTCAGGAATCTGTGGATGTACCATAAAGACTAAGTAGATTTGTTACACAGGATCTTTCTGTTCAAATACTATATTGTCTGTCTGTTATTATGTCATTATTCTCTTGGTGTTCAACCCATTTGGCTCTATTTTTTCTAATGTGTGCAATGTGTTCTTCTAGTGTAATTACCTAAGCGTAGTTACAGGATGAGAGCTACGCTCGTGGTGTCTCGTCTTCCAAGCACTCTTCTTCGTATAACGCTTTGAAACTACTGATGGTTTTGGCCTCCTCCACCTTCTCACCTAACTTGTTCCAACCGTCTACTACTCTGCAAAAGCGAATTTTCTGATATTTCTTCGGCTTTGTTTAGTTTAAATCTATGACCTCTTGTTCTTGAAGTTCCAGGTCTCAGGAATTCTTCCCTATCAATTGATTCCCATTACTATTCTGTACTTAGTGATCATACCACCTCTTTTTCTTCAATCTTCTAGTTTTGATGTGTGCGCGCATGCGCTCGCATAATAATTTATTTATTTATCTTATGAACTTACATTAGAAGACGTATGTAATAACTGGACACGACCATCTGGAAGAGCCATAATTGTAATGCCCATATCTCTCAGTAGACCCATATGTCGGCTATTTCCTGCTTGGAACTCAGACGCTCGTAACTTTCTCCGTAATGTTTTGCGTGAGGGGCAAACATTATTAACAAAGTTTTTGAGGGGCCGTCTTATGGTTTCAGCAAATTCGTGGCGACCAGGGAAGAGAAAGTGAGCATTTGGACAAGAGCGGGCATACTCCACATCACTGTCTTGAGCACTATCTTGGTTATCAGGACCCTGGTAAAACACAATGGATATACAGGTTCTTTTCTTATATTATAATTTATTTGAACTTAATCTTACTGAATCTCTAAAAGTGAAAAACAGAATTAATACATTATTTCATTTTCAGAACAGGGTTATAATTAATTTATATACTGATTTGCTCATAAGAATGTAACTTTTCAATGTTCCTAAGACAATTGAATACTTACAGGCACAACTGTCAGGTTAGAAAGACGAGCAAGAGAGAGAGGTAGAAGATGAGCTTCTGTTGTAAAAATAAATTGGTCCAAATCAATTATTAGGTCACTTGGTTTAGCAAAGAGCAAATAGAGGTACTTGAAGGTCTCAGACAGCACAAATGAATCCATTCTGTAAGAAAATTTTTAATTGTTTAAATACAAAGGTTTTAAAAGCACATACATAAATTAATAGAATAAATTATATAGTACTGATTTTAAAAAAATACTAAAGGCAATCTGATTTTGTTAGTTGATTGAGCTGTCAATTTTGGGAGACTGATCAAATGGTAAGATGGAAAGAGTACCCAATAGGTTTGTCTGGTTTGAGGATAATATAAAATTATCCATCCCTTTGTTCCAATAATTCAAGAACCAGCATTAAAGTTTCACTAATGCCAACCCCTTCCCTGATCTCTCAGGTATATATATACAACCCCTTTATATTGACTATCCCCCACCTCACAAAAGAAAAAAAAGCGTTGAATGTAATGAAATGCCATTTTCTGGGTGAGATCCGGAGACTCCCCGGAGCTTATCCTGGCTGATATGGAACTATTGGACATTGGCATCGGTCAGTGTGAATGGAGTTCTTAGGCTTACCGAGGACCACAAGCCAGAATCTGGCCCCCTCAGAGAGGCAAGAAGAGCAATGCCCTACAGAATTGCACGTGATTTGGAGCATTCTATGTCTGCCATCGACCGGCTCAGGCACCCAGAGAGGTAAGCATCCAAAAAAAATCACCTATTCTGGTTGAAACTACTACTAAAAGTCAAAGAAGTGGACAGAACTTCCCAAAGAAAAACAAGCATGACATCACCATCATCACCACGTGGTGGAAACCATGCGCTCTAAACCCGAAAGCATGACAACTGGCAACACCCATTGACCCTGCAGACGACCCGGGAGATCTGAACCCAGGAACAGATGAAGGGAACCCGGGTCAACCCAAAGTGCCTACGGCCACAGAGGCCGTGGTATGCAGATAATGGCTGAGACACACAATCGGACACAAGAAGATGCACCCCCGACTAAACCAACTAAGCATAAACAACCCAGGGACCCCTCCAGAAAACAGCCGTCTCAACCTCACCAGAAAAGAAAGAGACGGCTGCAAACAAACAAACCTATCACCAGAACCCAAAGGAGCAGAAACCATTGAGAAACAATCCTGAACCGAACGGGCCACTACAAACCAAGGGGAAGAGAGATAAGAGAGCACCTTGTCCAAAGACCAGGATGTCTCAAGCGGCGCATGAGCACGACGGAAGTGAAACAACGCCCGAGACAGCTTGCGAAACGGCGCAGAAGGAACATCAAAACCGAAAGCAAGCCATAGCGGCTCCGCCAGCGCTACAGGATACAAGGCAACAGTATGTGGCATAAGATGAGGGTCCTGATATAGCAATGAGAGAAAGGACAACACCACCTTAACCCTTAAACTGCGCATGGCGTATATATACGCCCTGAGTAACATGTCCCATGGTGCGTATGGCGTATATATACGCCATAGGGTGCCAGGCCTGATTCAAATGGCCCGCGGCTACACGGGGTTCACAGTAGCTTCCTCAGGGCTCTTGTAAACAGATGCCATTTAAAAAAAAAATCGTGGGCAATATTCTCAGGTGTGAGAGGCACAGTACTGTTGGAGCAACCAAGGCCGGCGCACGCAGCATGAGCGAACAGCATTGATTTTCAGCTTGTGACAACAGCATCGCCGAAAAATGTCAAAATAAATATATAATTGTTATTATTTAGCGATGACAATATTACAGATGACCAATGACTGTGATATAAATAACCAGGGTTGTGATAATAGCAGGATTGTTGTAATAATTAGCGCTGTGGGAGGAGTGATGCTGAGAGACGGAGGGAGACAGCATCGTTTACTGACTGTGTGGCCACCTGTTATTGTTTGCATTCACCATACCAGGTCAGTGGTTCTCTATGGTGAACACAAATGTAGATACTTATATATAATGTGTGTATTAGTGTAATAACAGCAAAAGGATTATGCTGGGAGGAGCCATATGGGTGACGGAGGTGACGTCGTCTGCACGATTTGTCTAGCTGTTTAGAGGGTGGCCACTATGCTCTTTGGGCGCACTACAAGCTTAGGTGTACAGTTACGGTGCATAAAACATGTAGATATTTATATATAATATGTGTATATAGGGTAATAACACTGCAAAAGGTATTGTTGGGGGAGAAAGTTTAGTGCATGTGACCTTGAAAGAGTGAGGGAGCCGCCAGCCGCCATCTGTGTATAGCGACGACTCTTAGTGCCTGAACTAACTATATCAGCTTGGCTGTACAGTTGTGGTGAACAAAATATACACATACTTATATATAACATCTGTATATAGTGTAATAACTCCACAACTGGTATTGTTGGGGGAGAAAGTTTAGTGCGTGTGTTGAGGGAGTGGCAGCGAGTGGCTGGCTGGTGTGTGGCGGTAACTCCTCATTGCTTTTCGACTCTCAATACCAACTTAGTGGTTCGTTATGGTGACCAAAACATGCCAATACTTATATATAACCTGTGTATAGAGTGTAATAGCAGCTAAACTATTTGTTTATTGTTTTATAAACATAATAATTGAATCACTAATATGCACATCATACTTTTGAGTATAGCGATTATTAACCACTTTTATTATATAAATATATTACAATACACACTATTGAATAATATTACTGCAAAAAAACTAAGAAAAAATCAATCGGAGACATTGAAACAATTAGGTAATAATATCTTTGTGGCAACTCCCATCTGTCAACGCGGGTGACGCTGACCGGGTCTGACGACCGCTCTGTCAACGCCCACTTTTTGCCAGACTTCCTCGGTCAATTGCACCCAAAATATGTCACCTACGATTTTTTTTTTATTTTTTCCGTGCTCAGGGGACACAAATTAACATGTTTAGAAGACGAAAAAAAATTTTTGAATTTTTTTTTTCTTGCGCACAGGGGTGTAAATGTCCCAAGGACCCCTGAGCAGTGTAAGGGTTAACCACCGCAATGCGCACCTGGTTTTGGCAAAAATTTCAAAGTGCAATTGTTAAAGACATAATTTGGAGTGCTATGCAGCCGGCACGGTGAGGTCTGGGACCCCCCTCCCCCTCTCGGGGAAGGCTGCGCAGACAAGCAGCGCGGCAGTAGTGTATTACGTTTGCTTGTTTCCTTGGGATTGTAGGGAGTTATACTTCTCTGTTCGGTTTTTGTTGTTAGTTTTTTACCATGTGGGGATTTGTTTCATTATGTCTATCTTTCTGGCTGCCTAACGCCAGTCGATGGCAGATAAGGAAAAACCCCAACCACAGGGGGGATTTTCCAGGACCATTGCTCCCTGAAACCTCTCTGAAGGGGCCAGGTTCTGGCTCATGGTCCCTGGTAGGTCTGAACTCCATAGCTAATGTCCCGGTCCAATATAACATACATTAGCCCGATAAGCTTCAGGGAGCCGTAGGGGCTCCCCTCAGAAAAAAAAGTCCCATCGGGAGAGCAACCACACTGGACTCAGGGTCAAAGATGTCATTGACCCAACAGCTAGCATGGTAGAGCAGAAGGAATGAACAATTGAACAATGCCACATGGTACGGACAACAAGCAACCCTCAAGCTTGCATGAAGCGAGAATATCTTCAGGGGAAATATCCATTGGACCACCAAACCAGCAGGGGATTTCCAAGGCCCAAAAGGTAAACCCAAGCAGGACACACAAGCAATGATATCACTATGCCAGACCTAAAAGTAAGCTGACACAGTCTAGGTCACGCAGCTGTGAAGGCCGACCTCAGTACACTGTGAAAAGTGCACCAACTGCCAATGCGTTCCAACAGTCAAAGTTGCTTCTGACTCGAGTAGACATAAATGTTCCAAGATGGCTGACTCACCCTGGGTGAGGGCCACTACAAGTGAGGAGGACCTCTAAGGAAGTAACTCTTGAACACTCCAGGGAAGATAACCCTGGCATTGCAAGGACAGCACTAGGAAGCAAACATGGAAGATAGCTCTGCACATGCAGCTACAAGCACACTCAAAACTTGGCTCATGCTACACTGCAGTGTACATGAACACTAACAAGAACAAACATCACCACTTAGCTGAAAGGGCAAAACACTGGATCCAGCACAGAAGAGAGGTGACCTGCTACCACTACATCATACATCAGCACTAGAGCTAAAGGTGGAGAGACCAGTTGATGTTGGGCAACCTTCCCCTTCCCAAACTAGTGGGGAAGGCGGGGTGAATAAACTCATGCTAGTTCCCAGAGAATTAGATTGTCTACATAGTCGAGTTCTTTTGGTGGTTTCGAGAGTTTGGTCTCAATTTGAAACCAGTGTGGTTTGTTTTTACTCGCTGACTTTCTGGTTGCCTTCCCTGGTGAGGTTGCAAAAATAAATGTCATTGCTCCCTGTGCCTCTAGTGGAGGTTCTGGAGCTGGTCCCCAGTAGGCCAATAGAACTCCACAGCTAATGTGACCTAGTAGATAGTACAATATCAGTATATAATAGCTTCAGGGAGTTACAAAGGCATCCCCACAGAACAGATCCACTTAAATAGCCAAACATACCTGTCTTCATGTACTCCTGTCCGAACATCTTTTACTGCAGCATAGCCACAGGGTACCCAAGCATGTTTTTGTAGTGAACGAAGTACTTGTTCCCCAACTCTCAAATAGTATGGGTCGTCTGTGGCCAGATATAGAAGGTATGTGGATTCTAGGAATTCCGGTCTTAATGGGTGTTGGCCCCAGTGAACCTGGCAAAGGTGAAGGAAAATGCTGTAAATATTTAATGCATGACATTCATCAATAAATTTATCTCTTGATAAAATAAAAAAAAAAACTGTTGGATGTAATGAAACACCAATTTCTGGTTGAGCCCCGATGGGTCCCTGAAGCTACACTGCAGATCTAGTGCCAAACTATTAGGTGCCATCAGTCAGGGAGTTCTTTTAGGCCTACCGGTGACCATGAGCCAAAACCTGGCCGTCTCTAATGAGGCAGAGAGAGAGAGAGCAGTAGCACTATGCTAAAATTGTCAGTGAATTTTAATCATGACCGCTACCACCGGGGAAGGATCCACAATGTCATTGAAACAAAATAGACCACAGCTGATTAGAAAAAAAATATTAAGACATCAAAATAGTAAAGAACTCTTCCAAAATGTAAACAAACAAATGAAAACTCATTAAACTAGCTCTAGCTTCTTTGTCCCATTGACCCCCCCCCCCCAGTGGTTTGGTGGGAGGCAGACAGGGTCAGCCGGCTGCTCAGTAAAAAAAATGAAATGAAAAAGCCACCCCCCAACTCCCAAAGGAAGGGAGCATGGCAGAGAACCACTGGGGCTCACCCAGAAATTGGCATTTCATTACCCTTTTAGTTTCAATTTACTAAACAAAAACCCCAGTGCCAAAGGAGAGCTTAAAACTCGCCCACACACAAGAACACGAGGTGAAAAAGAGATAAGAAAACAAAGCGTCACAAGAACAAGCACGAACCGAAGGGGACACAGTAAAATGAGTGAAGAAAGAAAGAAAAGAATGCGGTCCAAACACTAAGCATACTCAGGTGATGCATGAAATGCCCAGAGGCTCCAGAGGTGAAAAAGTGCCCAAGAAAGCTTTTAAAACAGGGCCGAGGAATTACCGACTGCAAACACAAGCTAAAGAGCTCTGCCAGCACTGCACAATATGAGACGACAGTATTCGGCATGAGATGCCAATCCAGAAAAAGTGAAGAAAGGAAAGACAGGACAACCAAAACCAACACTGAAGAGGAACAACGAAGGGAGAAAATGGTGAAAAGCACACCAAGTGACTTTGTATGGTTAACCACTGCACTGCGCAAAGCGCCTTTAGGCGCTCAGAGAGTTGTGCTTTTTGTTTTTTAATTTGGCTATATTTTAATGTTTTTTAATGTTTTCATTACTATTTGTGTTTTGAAATGGAAATAGTTGACTTTATAAACATTTTGACATTAAATTTACCTGAACATTTGTAAAAATAACAAAATTATGTCCTTGACAATTGCACCAAGACGTTTTTGCCGAAAATAGGTGAGCAGTGCAAGGGTTAATGACAGGAGAACCGCAGCTGGGACACCAACAAACCAGCCACCTGATCACCATAGAAATAACGATAAACATGCATCAGAAGCTCCAGACGTGAAGATCGGAGAAGGTGAAACCAGCAAGGTACATCATGGGACCAATCTTCTGAAAGAGACTGAACCGCAGAAAAACAGCTGGGTTTGGACACCGAACAAGCTGTGTCTGCAACCAAGGCTGAGCCAGCCACCAGGGAGCCAGAAGAACTACCCTCTCCCTATAGAACTCTTAATTTCACCAGGACTTGAAGTAAGAGCTGGAGAGGGAGAAAGAGGAACAGAAACTCCCACCTCAACCAATCCAGCAGAAAGGCATCCACTGCAAGAGCCTCACAGTTGGGAAATGGTGCCATGTAAAGAGGAAGGTGCCACAGCCAGGTCCATCTGGGCACCCGAATGTCCAGCAAACTAAAGGAAGGGGTCTGCATCAATGGTCCGATTTGTGGAAATGGAATGAAATGAGAAAGAAACAGCTAGGACATTGGACACCCCTTGGACGTGACTGGCACAGAGTCAATCATCTTCTCTGAAAATCCGAAGACACCAGAAGACAAACTACATGTAGAGTCCAGCTCCAAAGTAACAGGGGACTATAGAGAACCCCCCCAATTGAGACAATGAGCCATGGGGAGACAGTCCGAATGGGGCTGGACTATGGGGCCGAGAGGGGCCTGAACCATCCGCAATGAATGCCACATGGCCACAATCTCCTGCACAGAACCATGAGCACAATGGAGGTGAGGGGACTATGGCCACTGACCAGATGGTGAACAATGGTCCCAAAGCCCCAACCAAGGTCAGAGGCATACAGGACGACATCAAGTGAGGGCAGAGGAAGGTGCCAGGGAACAGAACTCAAAAAAACCCGAAGAGGAACCCGGCGACACAGCAACCGATGAAGGGCTTCCAGAGTATACCCCCAGCAATTGTGGCCGCAGCAGAAGACCTTGCTCCAGAGAAACCCAAACAACCTCTAAGGCCAAATCCTACCCAAGGAAAAGACAAGGAGGGCATAGTTGAGGCACAGCTACTCGAGCAACCGCCGAGTCACCTAACGCCCACTAGACACCAACAGCTGGTGGTGCTGCAGCTTGTCCAGAAACTGTCCATGGACACAGAAACGGGTATAAGTAGGCCAATCCAGCTCACTAGAGGATGAGACGGCCGACCTCAGCACGTCTTGGTTAGGATGAGCAATCTCCAGTGTGCCCCACCAACCACAATCCGTTCTTAACACCAGAGAAGACCGACCTCTTTATCAGGAGGTTGGAGAGTTTGGTTGGTGCTTGGGGGCAGGCTGCTGCTTGGAGATGGGCTATTTGGGGATGTGTTGCAAAATTCCCCTTACCCCTCCTCACCATCTTCCATATGCCAACAGGAGTCATCAGCAAGGGTAAATAATAACTTTAACATACTTTTGTAGTGTAGATTTGGGTGAATTAGGTATAAAATTTACCTTGAAGTGAAGTTTTTGGGGAGTCAGAAACGGATTACTTCTTTCCCATTATTTCTTATGGGAAAATTCGCTTCGGTTTGAGAATTTTTGGGTTACGAACCGTCTTCAGGAATGGATTAAATTCTTAAACCGAGGTACCCTGAATAAAATTTCTCAGCTCCCCCCCAGAAAGAATGAACACAGAAAAATAAAGGCATTCATTGATAAAATATTTAAATTGAATGGGAATGCATATACTGTACTGTACTTCTTTACTTATTGACATTGTTTCTTCTACAGTGATGGAGGCCCTCTCATGAAATACAGTACTGTATATATTTAGATTGCAAACATTAAATATCAATATATACAAATATGAAATACTGTACTTGAGTGGCCAAGACATTGCATTAAGAAATTGCCTGAAATGTGGAAAAAGCTTCAATGAATGATTTTAATTTCTACAAAACTACCCAACTGTCCAAATGGCATAAGGCCTGTGAAATACTATAAGGAAACAATCTTTCCACATTCCGTGTCATATCATACAACTACAATTTACCAACTACTCCTCTCAAGCTAATAATACCACTTCATATAATTTTGTTAATACCTTTATGTCAATAGCACATTAAAGCAAGCTATGTGCAAATCCTCTTCACATCTTCCACCAAATAAATACACTATCCCATATTCTTATTAGACATCACAGTTTATGTGATGAATCATGAGAAGTTCAACCCTCTGCAGTAAATAGCATGAATATGAATATTTCTCTAACCTGGAAGTCTGTAGTAAATGCCTCGGGTAAGAAATTATGACGCTGAATAACTTGATATAACATTTCATGGGTCTCAATGGCTGGCTTGATGTCTCCCTTTAAAACCTGAAAATTGTCATAGTTTATTAATATAAATAAATTTCACAAATTAAATATCTTTTCCCCATAATATAAAGCTATCTTGTAAGAAAATGGGTGACTATAGAACAGAGAAATGCTTAAATTTTTTGACAATCCCATTTACCTGAAGTCCAGGCCAGAAAGCAAGGAGAGCATCCATAAAGTTGCGGGAAGTGGTGTGGGGACGGTGCATATGGACATCTAGCAACATTGGACCTTGACTAATGTACTTCATTACTGCACTGTAATGCTGCCAAAAATAGAAAATATTAATTTTCATCTGAAATTTAAGATGTTGTAATTGATATTGTCATACCAGACAGTTCATACAATATACACAGTACAGTGTAACCTTAATTTGGCAAAGTATATGGGACCAACCCCAATTTGTTAAATTGAGGGATTCATTGCAACTGGAGATGCCTTCAGAAGGCATTTGTAAGATCCATATCTTTTATCTGGAAGCCCCTAGTGGCTCCCTGAAGCTATCTTCCTGAGAATGCTTTATACTGTACTAAAAGATTACATCAGCCGCAGCTAGTTCTGTTTGGCCTTCTGGGAATCCAAGCCAGAACCTGGCCCCTTCACAGAGGTGCAGAGAGCAGGTGACAATCCATCACCTCACTAGAAGAACCCTCTGGAAAGTCAGCATAGCTTTACAGACAACTGGAGGGTTCACAAAAAATCAAGCCTTGAAAAGCCTCCAAACTACTATTGCAAACAAGTTAAACAGAAGAAGGGATTCATTCAAATGAGTTTGAAACTTGTTAGTACCGATTATCGCAACCAGGCAGCCTGGCCCTGGCTCCTAGACACTTCCCCAATTCAGTTTTGATCCTGATATTGGTGTCCTTACACTAACGTGTAGTGCTTTCGGTCATGCCATCTCACAGGTGAGCCCCAAAGCTTCATGCTAAATGCTTGCCTTCCTTTGATTTGCTTATCCTGTGGAGCCATTTTCTTCTTTGCACTGTTTCCGATTTTAGTGTGGTTTTGTGCATACACTGGAAGACGCCTCGAGCACGTCGATGTGAAGAGGTCCACCTCCAGGCACCCGTGTGTCTGGCAAAGCCAACTGAACGAGTCTGGATCGACTGTCAATTCTGAGGATAAGGGAATAAACTGAAACCGGCCGTCCACCAGGATGTTTGACATCCCCTGAACGTGAACCACCAAGAGAGCCAAACCTCGAGAACTCAGCAGATGAGTCACCCGAAGCGACCAGCCCCAAAGAGCCTAGGACCGCATCAAACCCCAGTGATTCAGACAATGAACCACAAGAGAGCAGTCAGACTTGAGCCGGATTGTTGCCCTGTGAGCGACACGCACAACTGGTGTGTAACCCGGGTGCTCGCCAAAAACAGTCATAGGCAGGACTGCAGACGCAACAAAGTCGCAGGAGGGAAGAGACAAGGAAGCGGTCCGAGGGTCCCACACAAGACCCAGCCAAGTCCGAACTTGGCTGAACTTTAATCTACTTACCTCTTTACACCATTTGAACAAGTAAATTTGTTTCTGATACCGACCTTTAGATTACAAGGCATTCCCTATTGCCCCTTTTACATATGCTGCATGCCCAATATGTACCAATTTCTATTTATTAGTTAGTTCACTTTCTTGAAGTTAGACTGAAGGTGATTTAGACTGAATAACTAAGGTCCTTTGCACATTTTTTAAGATCCTGGGCAATATCTTATCTGGTCTTATTAATTTTTTAATATCTAATACCAATTTTATTTCTATGCATCTCAATACTTTTGGTTGTTGTTGAAATTGTAAAAGCCCAAAGTAAACTAGAGTCTTAAATTAAAATAACTAGAGACAAAGTGAGAAAACTTAATAAATATTTACAGAAATAAAGCAATATGACCTAATAAGATATCCAGGATTTTAAAGGAATGTGCAGAAGAACTTTGTTATTCAATCTGGATCATCTTCAGTTTTGCTTCAAGAAGGTAAACTAAGTGACAAATTAAAAATGGTAAATTTTGTACCAATATATAAAAAAGTGATGAGAAGAGTCTATGACTTCTATGCCAGCCTTATTATTAAAAGACCATACTAATATATTATCTTTCTGAAAAAATCACTAGAAGTTGAATATAATAGACACACCTTATTAAACCTCTCCAAGTAGTCTTCATCGCCTAATAATACATAGGCCTTTAGTAGATACTCATAGTAAGAATCTATACCAGCTCCAACACCAGAGTCCCGTCGCACCCAATCACCTGATGTGAAAATTAACCGATTATTACATATATTTCACCTAAAATACACACAAAAATAATTGAAATATGTACCTTGGGATTCAAGTGTAAATGCTGGTGATGAAATATCAAAATTAAGAATAACTTGAATAACAAAAATATAATGTCATAATTATATGATAAAATTGAGTTTTAATTGGTGTTAAATATCAAATGCATAACTAATTAATAACTCACATGTAACTACAAAAAATTGCAATCTATGTAACATGGTATAAGATGGGCTTTGCAATGTATGGGACATGATATAAGATGGGCTTAAACTTGAGTCATTGCTTTTAAATGATTTTGCTCTTTCATTAATTTTTTAATATTAAATGCATTTGGGACTCCTATGCTCTCTTATTATTTCATTCCTTAACCTCCTGTACTGCACTCACAAAGATATATTGGTTGACAAGTGTTGCGCTCACCAAGAAAACTTGTGTTTGGGTATAGGGAATGATTCAAAACTTCCATGAATACATGGGGCTCACGGCCTGTTATTGAGGGATCTAGTAAACAGATGTCATCTTGAAAAAAAAAATTGTCTACATCCCTCCTAGCTCTGAGAGCCTCAGTACTGAGAGAGCAACCAAGCAACACACGAAGTGGAAAAAATATTCAAGGAGCAAAGTAGGAACAAAGTAGTTGGTCCAGATGGTGTTTCACCTTGGGTTCTAAGAGAATGTTCATCTGAGATCAGCATTCCACTTCAATTAATTTTTCAGTCATCTGTGTATAGGAGCCCTGGCAGAGATATATATGGAAAAAGGCAAACACAGTTTTAATCTACAAAAAAACAGTGTTGAATGCAATGAAACTCCATTTTCTGGGTGAGTACCGGAGGCTCCCCAGAGCTATCCTGGCTGATATGTATATCCCTAAACTTTGGCATCAGTCAGTGTGAATGGAGTTCTAGGCCTACCAGGGACCACGAGCCAGAACCTGGCCCCCCTCAGAGAGGCATGAGGAGCACTGGCCTATAGAATTTCACATGGGATTTGGAGCATTCTATAACTGCCATTGACCAGGACAGGTACCCAGAAAGGTAAGCTCCTCAAAACAAACTCCTATTCTGGTTAAAATGACTAAAATAGACAAACGAGTGAACAGAACTCCACAAATGAAAATGAGCAAATGAACATGACTTTACACGAGCCGCATGTCTGCGCAGCTCCCCCCTACCAGGGAGGGGGAAGGGGGAGCCCCAGATCCCCATGCTGGGGATCCATCCTGCAGTTCTGAGGCTGGATGTCAAAAACTGCCAAATGGAGGGAGAGAGGGAGGGAGGGTTGCCGGGGTGCCTATGGAACTCACCAAGAAAATGGCATTTCATTACATTCAATGCTGGTTTTCTGGAGGAAGCCCCTTTGACTCCCCGGAGCTAACTACTCAAAAGCTAAGGACGAAAGAGGAAAAACCCGGGAGGCGGAAACCACATGCCTGAACCCGAAAGCAAAACAATTGGTCACACCAAATGACCCCGCGGACGACCCAGGAGCCCCGAACCTTGGAAAAGGGAAGAAGGGAACCCGGGTCAACCCAAAGCACATCTAGAGCTACAGAGACCGCGGTACGCAGGTATCCTGCGTACAGCCTGCGTAGCCTGAAGTCGTATAGGCTGCACAACACCTTAACTCCCCAACCAGCATGATACCACTCCCTTCCCAAGGCCAAACAAGGGCAATGAAACCCCAGCTGGCCCCAAGGGCAATGAAACCCCAGCTGGCCCCAAGGGCAGGGTAATTGCCGAGCAGCAAAAACCTCTACAGAAATGGGTCCCGAATGCAGGTCCCCGGTAGGCTGAACTCCATAGACTAATGCCCAGGTCTAATGATTTACATATTAGCCCTATAGCTCCAGGGAGCTGAAGGGGCTCCCCCACAGAAAATTGGAAGGTAATGCTTTTCTTTATATGCACCACGGAGTAGCCAAATTAAACAGCTGCACAGTACAGTGGTTAAGTAGAAAAGTAGGAGATCCTGAGAGAAGGAATCAGTTGTAAAGAGAGAAATTAATTATACTGTAATTCTGTACGAATTAGTCATCAAAATATGATGGATAAGGCTTTCATGCAAGAACTGAATAAGCTGGTATAATATTCTGTTGATTATATTAGGATAAATAGTATAATATATTATTGCTTTTATTCTCCGTTATATTTATAAAATTTACTCGTTTCTTTAAATTCATACCTGAATGCACATTTAAGACTGTTCCTACAAGGTCGCTTCCCCGGTGCCTCTGGCTCCATAAACAATCCATAGCCTGACGAGCTTTTTCTTCAAAGATGGAGTCACCTGTTAATCGAGATAGGGCTGCAAACTCTAAAATAATAGTTCCAGCACATGCTGTACAAGTATCTCTGGAGCTCTGCAGTTTTGGAGACTTCATACCATACTTTAAATTAACCTGAAAGTAAAAAGCCAATTATACCACAAATTTTGTGTTGCACTGAATAAAATTCAAATACTGTAATGTAATACACCTCCTTATGGTGATCTACAGATCTACAGTAAATAGCTTATTATACCATTTAAATTTATAACATGTCTGATGTTTACAGTGGTAAGTGCCCAACTACTTGAAGTGGAAAATAGAGCGAGATTCTCGCTTCTTGCAAGCCAGCATTCAATCCACAACTGTCCAAGTGGCTAGGCACCATTATCTTCAGTGCTATCCCAAATCTTTATCCTCATCCCTTCAAAGTGTTATATAGTCATAAAGGCACTTTCTCCTGATTCCTAAGGAGTTTGATAATTACCTCAGAAAGTGAGGTAAACCTTACCTTCTCAGCTCAGTGCAAAATATGAAAGAAAATTTGGTGAAACTGTACATATCCTTATCAAGTACTGTATAATGAGTGTGTTTCCGTAACAAGTAGCCCGTTTATATTTTTATACTGAATAGTATATGCCAGTTCTCCTTTTTTTGAATTCATCTTCCAAGTATTCCCTATTAATATGCAGTATTACTTTCTGTGCACCTCTGTCCTGGGAGAAAGTAATCTGACTGAAATCATAACCTAATTATACAGTAATGTACAGTACATAGATACCTGTATACACAGAATTTCAATGATAAAAGTTCATATTAAATATTGAAACCCCCTAATACGCCCCTTATTGATGATGCCATTCAGTAAATAAAGTGTAGTGCCTTCTGAGCAAGGCAGATCAGTCTCAATGCAAGTAGTAATAGGATAAAATTTGCAGATAGGCAGACTAAAAAAAACAGCATTGAATGCAATGAAACGCCATTTTCTGGGTGAGACCTGCAGGCTCCCCAATGCTATCCAGGCTGATATGTACAGGCATACCTCAGAATAAGAGTTTAATCCGTTCCTGGAGACGCCTCGCCTTCCGAAAACTCGCATTCCGAAGTTAATTTTCCCATAAGAAATAAAGGGAAATGAATTAATCCGTTCCTGACTACCCCAAAAACCCCACATCAAACTAAATTTTTATACCTAATTTACCTAATTCATCTAAATAAACCTACAAAACTGTGTTCCAGTTATTACTTACCTTGCTGTCGAGTGCTGTAGGCGTATGGAAGATGGTGAGGAGGGGGGAGGAGGAGAGGAGTTACTGTTTGGAAGGGGAGTCCCCTTCCATAATCACATCACATAACCCCATGCCTTGTAACACTATGGATACCACTTCTCTTTCTAAATTTTTCAAACCAGCCCCTGCTTGCCTTAAACTCTTTCTTATCTGCATCACTCGTTGCAGGGGTATTCTTTAGAAGGTCTTCGTGCAAAACCCTGGCTTTCTCACAAATAATGGCCTCCGAAACACTATCACCCCTCAACTCCTTGTCGTGTATCCAAATTAATAACAACTTTTCCACTTCTTCAAGTATTTGTGGTCTTTGTGCCGTTAATGTTCTTACTCCTTTTGCCACTTTAGCACCCATAATCTTATTTTTCTTCTTAAGTATAGTGCATATTATTGATGTGGCTTTGTTGTACTGCCTACAAAGTTCAACAACACGTGTACCGTTCTCATGCTTCCGAATGATCTCTTGTTTCTCCTCTATTGTCATCCTCACATGAGCTTTCTGGCCTTTATCCTTACCACTGGCTTTCTTGGGACCCATGGTGAGATATATAATAACAAATTGTATAGACAAATCACCAAAAATCCAACAAAACACTGAAAATCCGCGAGAAGAATTGATGTGGGGGTAGTCACTGAGCGCGAGACAATAATAAACTGAGGGGCGGCGGGGCGGAGGGGCGACGAACGCCGAACCACTGCGCGCTAGGTCGGCTGTACGCGTATCAACAAACTCGCGTCCAAACTCGCCTCCCGAAGTAACCATCGCCTTCCGAGACAAATTTTTGGAGTAAATACACCTCGCCTTCCGAAAACCTCGCATACAGGGACAATCGCATTCCGAGGTACCACTGTACTTATTTAGCTTTCTGGCATCAGTCAAAGTGCATGGAGTTCTGCCTACCGGGGACCACGGCCAGAACCTGGCCCCCTCAGTGAGGTGTGAGGAGCAATGGCCTATAGAAACCCAAGTGTGATTGGAAGCATTCTATGTCTGCCATCGACCGGGTCTGTCATCCAGAAAGGTAGGTGTTCCAAAACAAACCCCTATACTGGTGAAAATTGCTACCGAAAGCTGAACAAGTGGACAGAACTCCCCAAACGAAAAATAGCAACTATCATAACATCATTACGTCGCCGCGCCACCGTCTGCGCAACTCCTCCCTCCCCGGGAGGGGGAAACGGGAGCCCCAGACCCTTGTGCCGGCGACCCAACCCGCAGTTCTTGGCTGATGGGATCCCTGGTCGGTTGGGTGCCTCTGGCTATGGTTTTTATTTTCAGTTACTGTGCCTTGTAGCATGGTCTGTCTCTCCAGGGTGTGTGTGAGCCAGGAGTAATATTCTACAGTACAGTACTCAGGCTGCATGCGCCTAGGGTTCCCTTCCCTAGGTGCCCAGTAAGTACTGCCCTTGGGGCTTGGGGCTGCCTTGGTACTTAGCTGCCCTTGGAGTCGACTCGGGTCATGTTACCCTTTTTTGCCCCTGGGTAGGGGGTAGTTTTCATCACTGGTAGGGGCACAGGGTACTGCACAGCTAGTTTTCACCACTTATAGCGGCCAGCTCTGTTCTACCTGGGTACGTTGTCCTCTTGTGGGGTTTTTCTTTTGTTTTTTGTTTTCCCTGCCAGGTGGGGTGATCTGCCTTTGGTCACCATTTTGGGTTCTTTCTGGTATATGTATTGTGTTTTGGTGGTACCCCCTGTTTGGCCCCCGTGAGTGGACACGTCCCGGGGGTTCAGCCTTAGACGTTTGCTTGGTAGTTTTTGGCACCGGTTTGCAATACCCTGCCTGGGCTTCCCTTCGTGTGTTAACAAAGCTAAGGGCCCTGGGAAACCCCACCCCGGGGGCTGTATGGTCCGATGGAAGTGACCCCTGAGTCCCCTCTTGCTTCGTGCGAGGTTGAAGGTTGTTCTGTCCCCTTGTCTCGGAGTGACAATCACCGGTTCTGCCTTTGCCATGCTGCCAGTCGGGAGCAAGGCAAAGGCAGAACAGCAAAGGCAGCATTAGATGCCATTCTAATGTGTGTGACGATGAAATTTTATCACAGTACATGTATAGAGGTACTCACTACGGACAGTGTAGAGGTACCTGTACCAGCTGACTTCAGCTGTCGACGACACCTGATGCATCAAAATACTCAGAAATATCACAATCAAATTGAGAATGGTCCAGGAAGGACCGAAACGTCGTCATCCCTTCATTTTCTAGTGTGGATTGGTCAACACCCAGAAATACATTATGTACATCGCTGTTATCACTTTGAATACCGCTATTATTATCAGATTCCTGTTACTAAATCATGAATATGAATAATTTTGCAGAAGATAATTTTCTAAAGGAACATGAGGTCACATTGCATGATGTGTAGATTCACAAACTTCCTCTGTGTGCTGCCTCCTGATGTGAACATCATAATTAGCATTGTGTTCACTGATATTAAAATCTTGTACATGATAATTATTACACTCAGAATCATCTATGACACTATCAAAACAAAATAATTGCAGTTACTTATTTTATTTATCATTATTAAGTGGTGCTATGGCCCTGACTTGTGCAGCTGTGCTGTGAGCTAGAGCTACATGTGCCAGCCTTGGTTGCTCTGGCACTACTGAGACTCTCACTGCCAGCAGGGATGCAGAGGATTTTTTGTTTAAGATGGCTTCTGTTTAATGGAGTCCTGTGGAACAAGAGGTGAGCCCCATGTTCTTGCGGGAGTTTTGAATATTACGATTCAAATTATCGCACATCCCTCACATGTCGGGTAGCACAGTACAGTAGATAATGACACTGTGGACATCCTTAGAAACACGAGCTCTGGAACAGGGAACCAGAAAAACCGGATCAACACACAATGAGTCCATCAAAACAGAACCGGTGGCTCGAAGGTAGTGGTGTAAAGCCACTTCAGGACAAAGTCCATGATGCACCCCCGGATGAACCAACCAAGCTTCCAGAACCTAAGGACCTCTCAAGAAACCCACCATCTCATTCTTCGCCAGAAAAGAAGAAGCAGGCTGCAAACGAACAAAACAACTCAAGGAAAGGACCAAACACCACGGCGCAGGAGAGCATGAAGCTCACCCACCTGACATCCAGAAGCCAAGAAAATAAAACACAAAGCCTTCCAAAAACGATCCCGGACCGTTTTTGGCTCTTCGGACCGACCGAAGGGGCCGCAGTGAACCGAGCAGAAGAACAAAAAGAAAGAACCCAGTCCAAAGACCAGGCAGGCTCATGTGATGCATGAGCAGGCTGGAGGTAAAACAAAGAGCGAAAAAACTTGCGAAATGGGGCCAAAGTAACATCCATCTCAAAAGCAAGCAGAAGCTGCTCCGCTAAGCCAGTAAACCCTGTCAATGCAGGCAATCTGACTGCAAGCAGCCAGAGAAAATCCTCGGGGCAACAGAGGACCACCACCACCACACACTGCAAAGCCTAATCAAGTAAGAAGCAGAACTCCTCTGCCAAAACAGGGAAAAAATACTGGGAAAAGTGAAAGCACAATAAAACCCCCAAAACTCCACAACAGCAAACAAGCAGTCAGAGAGAAACATCGGCCCACCGTTGGTAGCTGAAAAGCAGGCTGCACCAGCTGGAGTGTGCTCACCAGCCAACAAACACTACTCAGGGAAAGGCGGAAAGCTCTAAGGTCTCCGACGCACTCCAAGGGCGAAGACAACCATAATCAAGGAAGTCCTCTAATGAGGCATGATCCACGAACGCCCCAGGGAAGATAAACCTGAGATGCAAGGGCAGTACTTACAGAGCACCTAGGGAAGGTGGCCCTAAGTAAATGCTGCTCCAGTACTCGAGACTCCTGGCAACACGCACACATCCGTTTTATAACACTGCCACAAGGGCAAAAGCACCAAAGAAAAGGGGAACATGGAGCTAGAGTGACAGCAACCACTCAGCATGACTACATCAGTCAAAGAACTAACTGTGGGGGCGGCTTGACTTACCCAAGTTGGCTTCCCCTCCCATCTGCAAGGGTGTGGAGCTAACAAGGGGGGGGGGGGGGTTAGTTGGACAAAGTTTTGCTTGTTTGTTTGCTTTCTGGGGAGTTCTTATGCACTTGTGGGGACACAGGTCACACTTTTCAACCCTGCAGTAGTCTGTTCTGATTTACTTACCTTTGTGTTCTACTACTCTGATTTGCTTACCTAATTTGCCTACCTGTTCTGATTCACCTACCTTTCTGGGTGCCTTCCCTAGTCGATGGCAAGATGACATACTTTAAATGTAAAGTGTTCATGGGCCATTGTTCCCGTCGCCTCTCTGAGGGGGCCTGGTTGTGGCTCGTAGTCCCCAGTAGGCTTACAAAGAACTCTGCGAGTGATGACACTCAAGTAATATGGCAATTGATCAGTAAGATAGCATCAGAGAGCATCCAGGGCTCCCCACAGCAAAGGTAGGTTTACATTATAAGGTATAGTATGCAAGAATACACACTATAGCTGCTAAAGATAGAGGTTCAGGGAGAGGCATAACTATAGTACACTGTAGCTGTGGTTGAGGATAGGGAGGGGCTAGATTACTTTGGGGTAAACTAAAGATGAGGAAGGGTCAAGTTGTTCAGATAGCTCACAGATGACAGTTTCTAGGTGAGATTAGAGATTGACTTGGGTAAGTGGGGCTTATTAACTATCTGTCTCTATTAAAGCACTGCTTGATCAATTCATGGTTATCACGAACTTGTCGCAGTTTGTATCGAGAGGAAAGCTTGGCATGATGATTCATTACACGTGTTAAACAAGAATTAACAGTATAGGATAATAACTCTCACACATATGTATTTGTGAATTTTCTGTAAAGATTTACACAAGTCTTTTGCATTCTCCTGAGTGCTTTGTCAAAATCTGAGTATGTGGTTAGGATGAGACTTACATATCAACGATTAATATTAAGAACTTGATTAATCATCGAGATGTAAGTCTTGTCCTAACCACAGACTCAGACCTTGACAAAGCACTCTGGAGAGTGCAAAAGACGAAGTAAATCTTTACATAAAATTCACAAATACAGAAGTGTGGGTTTTTATCCTATGTTATTATGTCTGCAAGAAATCGTTACCATTACTTAAATAACAGTGTACTATGTTGTTAATAAGTGACATTACACACGATACAAACTAAATCAACTACCACTAACCATACCAAATTCATATGAAGCAACTAAAATTACTGTGATCTCTGTAATTAAGAATCCATTTTCATGATCAGCATATAGCTACATTACCTTAGCATGTGGAATCCCTGTTGTGGTGTTAAAGGCAGGTAGAAGTCTTGAGGCTAAATCTTGGGCCATGGTCAGCAACTCTCCTCGGTACCACCCTAAGGCCCCATAGAGCTAACCAGAGAGATGGGCACATATTATAAAGCTTGTGCTATAAAGTGTATATCCTATTTTATATAAAAGACAACTAAAAGTAAACCAAAATTACATTTATCCTAATACTGTATAGCAAATGATTTTAACCAGAAAGGACTAAAAAAATTTACAGGTATTTGAAAAGAAACAAGTAACTGGCACACAGTTATTTATGGGGATATTTGCTATCGTGTAATTTATAAATGTGAGTAAATAAAACTTTGAGGTTTTATGAAAAGTTATTTGATAAACTGCATCACATAGACTATCATCATAAATATATCCAGAAACATAATCACAAAAGGTATTATTTTTTAAGTTTTAAAAAAGCTCAGAAATTTCTAGCAACTAGGTGGTCTGGTCAGAGACCGGGCTGCAGGGACAATGATCCCCGGAATCTTCAAGAGGTGGGAAGGTAGCAATTCTTCTGGCCAAAGGCTAGGCTGTTCACTGTGGGTTCATGCTGCTCATGCATTAGTTGTGCCATAACTTATGGCTTCGTAAGTTATACTAAATAGCCCTCCAAGAAAGGTTTCTTGTATTTTTGTGAATTTGGGGGGAATCCAGTGACATATGGTGCCACAACTCTGTGGATATTCTATATAACCTCATAATAGAGCAGCAAAAAGAAAAAGAAGCAAAGTCACTAATAAAGAAGTTACATATTGTGGCATCAAGTTTGAAAACATATTTTTTATGAAACAATTATTTCAAGTTTATCATACAAAAGAAGCCATCATTTGTGAAAAATTACATATAAAAAATGCACGACAAACAGCTTTACAAAGTAAATTTTGTAAAGGTTTATGCACAGTAAAAGATAGAGGGGCTCAGTTTGTAAATACAGAATTAATTCTTTCATCTCGCCACTAAAATAACATTAAATTTGTAGGCAATTCTTGTTTTAACCCACATCATAAGATAATTATTTGTGAACATTTACATAAATCAATACAAATAAAGCTTCAAGAAAAGAAAAAAGTAAAACATTTATTTGTCCATTAATGCGTCATGTTTGTTCACCCCAAAGTAGAGTGCGAGATACCTTTGTAATACAAGAATGTTAATAAGGTAATGCTTACATATTGCTGTAGAGACTGTAACATGTTCAACACACTAACCTGGTTTAGATGTTCAGCCATCACATGACCAGATATCAACCCTCCAACCATACGTATATTTGTCTCAAAAACTGACACCACTACGTCGTTATCAAAGGAAACATCTCTGACTACCAGGCGTAGAGCGTGATCAAACTCTTCAATATCCCCCATCACAACCAATGTATCCAAAGCATCCACCAGTGTCAATGAGAAACTGAAAAATAATTGTTGTAAAGCATGTTTAGGGTAACTATCAATACAGTACTGTATAAAACACATTTAAGACTACAATATTTTAATTGTATTACAACTTCTTAAACTGTACTATACTTTGTTAAGTCTCTGACAAACATTTATGTTTCGTGCATGGTATTAATGTACACTACTGCACTTACTTCCCTAAAGACTCATCTATGTCCCCTCTCGATTGCTCCACCTCTCTCCATCTTGGTTTGCAACTGAGAGGCATCAGCTCATCAGCTGGGTATGCATTGTCCTGCAAAAAACAAAAACAAAATAAGATTTTCAAAGAACAGTAGGCAAATTTAAAATTATAGGCAATGCATATTACAAACAAAATAATAAAGTGAGTAGACAACTGTTTCATTATGATACAGTATGCTATCCTCCATAATAGCATATTCAATATAAACAAATCTCAAATGTTTTCCCATAGTCAGGAAACATTAAGCCTGTTAGACTTATTAACACTTTCGCCCTTTATATTAGAGATAACTCGTCGCTGTTTTTTCTTACGATTCCGCATAACTGCCTACTTTTCTCGTCCATCGAAAAAATATTTCTATAAATTCCATTTTTTAACCGAAATGGATGGGGATACTTTTGTTTTGTAGAGAATTTATTTGCGAATTTTCTGGTACAAGAATGAATATTATATCACATAAACTTCTATGAGTAAAAAAAAAAATACACAAAGTATGTTTGGGGGTGTGGCGAGCGTGTGGCAGTGGGTTCCCTTTAGCCGTTGATATATCCAACACGTGGGAAATATTTGTATGTGTTATGTATATGTCTGTGTAGGGAATTTTACTGCGATCACTGTCATACAAATTATAAAATGTTTCAACAAGTATAAACATGACAAACATCAAACGAACGAAAACAATGCGTTCGTTTCTGCCGCGAACGCATACTGAGCAACGTGGTTCTATATTTGGCGCTTCTCTTACACATGCTTTGTACAAATGTTATACAGTTCATCTTATAGAAAATTTTATTGCGAACACATTGGTATAAAAAAGAAATACGTACATAGAAAAGTAGGGTCAGGAAACGTATAAACTTTCCAAGCATGATTTCCCCCCTGTGTTTTCGCCAGTGCGCTCGCGGCTAACTACTCTCCACTTCACACACTCTTGCGGGTGGGCAATTACCTATATTAAACATTCATATGCATATGTCCGTGTAGAGAATTTTATTGCGATTCCAATGATACCAAAATTAGCGATGTAGGACAACTGTAGGCTTCGCAACCATTAAGAGAGTGGAAACATTTTGTTGCTGTTTGGCGCTCTCGGCGAGTGATCTGCATAGTTTTTTATTTGGTGTTGATACTCCTTATGCTTGGGCGGCATTTTATAGGTATGCTCTTATAGACAATTTCATTGCGAACACAGTGATACCAAATTTAAATACGTGCGCCTTCAATTATTGTCAGGACAGTCAAAAGAGTGTACACTTTTTCGGTCTTACCGCATAGGCGCGCGAAGTGCCGAAAGCATCTGGGGTATTGTTTTTTTTGAGCGCCGAGAGCGCGAAAGTGTTAATTTGACGCTCACTGATATGTTCCAGCATTGTTTTATATTTGCGCTATTCCATTCTTACGCTTTGTTGATCTTTTTTACCAATGGGCTCATAGAACATTCTATTGCGAACACATTGACACAAAAATGAATGACGTACAGAACATAGAAAATTAATGTCATGAGAGTGAAATAAGTATAAACTTTCAAAGCGCCGTGCGTCGTCCCGTCACCGATACCGGGTAACAATTTCACCACTTCCCACACTCTTGCGGGTGGGCCGCAATCATTATTCTACGCTTATATTCATATCACCGTGTTGGGAATTTCATTGCGAGTCCATTGATACCAAAATTAACGCTGTAGGACAAGTGTGGAGGTGATAACAATCCCAAGAGTAAAAACATTTTGTTGCTGTTGGGCGCTCACGGCGAGTCATCTTCGTAGTTATTTATTTGGTGCTGGTATCCCTATACGTTTTGGGACTTTTTTTACTGATGTTCTTCTAGAGAATTTTATTGCGAACACGTTGGTACCAAAATGAAATACGTAGCGCGAGAACTAAGGTCATGAGAGTAAAAAGATTATACACATTTTTGTTTTTACGCTTACGCGGCAAAACGCCGTGAACACTTACGGTTGGCTGCCTGACCTTCGCTGAGAGCGTGAAAGTGTTAGTAAACAGGGGCATCAGGAAATGTTGCTCAAATGCTTCTGTTCAGCTGCATGAATTGACCTGAGAACCTTTCAGCTGTGACCCAACAACCCCGACTACTGTGCCACTCTTACACAAAAAACCATTGCTCTTTCACTAATTTATTGAATTTATTGAATTATTGAACTCTATTGAATTTTGTAACTAGCTCATCAAGATTGTAACTTGCTTAGCTAAATGAATTGTGGGGTTCAGTCCCTGAGCCCATTATGTGCCTCTGTAACCCTTTCCACTACCGCCCACAAGATGGGTATGGGGTGCATAATAAATGAACTAAACTAAAAAAAACTCTTTCACTAATAATGGTTACTTAATATTGACCTTGTGACACTCACCATGTAAGCAGTGTATGCATGGTAAAACATCTCCTTTGCCTCCTCTCTGCAAGGTAAAACAGATTTTAATTTTAAATTTAAAAAATATAGGCTAACTCCAGCATTTCTAGAAGTTATAATTCTCCAATTCAAATAATAATGACACTTGAACTTGTAATATCCACAATGAATGGAACACATGGAAAAAATACTACAATGGGGCGAGAGTTCAATACACCTTTTTTATTATTTTATGACCTGACTTCACTCATACACATAAGTTTGGAATAGTCAAAGTTTTTAACTGTAACACAACTAATCGTAAATACTCTATTATAATAAAAACATTAAATTACAACATATATGTAAGCTACAGAATGTATTATATATATTATATATATTATATATAATATATATATATATATATATATATATATATATATATATATATATATATATATATATATATATATATATATATATATATATATATATATGTCGTACCTAGTAGCCAGAACTCACTTCTCAGCCTACTATTCAAGGCCCGATTTGCCTAATAAGCCAAGTTTTCCTGAATTAATATATTTACTATAATTTTTTTCTTATGAAATGATAAAGCAACCCTTTTCTCTATGTATGAGGTCAATTTTTTTTTATTGGAGTTAAAATTAACGTAGATATATGACCGAACCTAACCAACCCTACCTAACCTAACCTAACCAATATTTATAGGTAAGGTTAGGTTAGGTAGCCGAAAAAAGCTAGGTTAGGTTAGGTTAGGTAGGTTAGGTAGACGAAAAAACATTAATTCATGAAAACTTGGCTTATTAGGCAAATCGGGCCTTGAATAGTAGGCTGAGAAGTGCGTTCTGGCTATTAGGTACGACATATATATATATATATATATATATATATATATATATATATATATATATATATATATATATATATATATATATATATATATATATATATATATATATATATATATATATATATATATATATATATATATA